TTCCTTCCTTCCTTCCTTCCTTCCTTCCTTCCTTCCTTCCTTCCTTCCTTCCTTCCTTCCTTCTACCCAGTCTTCATCATTCAGTGAGATAAATTAGCTTTGCTGCACTTTCTTCTCTTCTTTCTATTGTTTCCACAGTTCATATCCCTCAAAAATGTGTTACTACACATCTCCTTCCTATTACACAGCCACAGTTGTTTAGAAAGACAAGAACATATCTAGCTAAAAGCTAATGTGTAGATGTTTTCTAAAAACATCTACATTTTTTCTAAAAGTTAATATGTAGATTATAAGTTAATATGTAGATTCTAGCTGATTACAACAGCTGCAAGCAGAGCAATGGCATTTCAATATTTTAATATGGAGTCTATCAAGCATGTTCTAACAAGTGATTTTGTCATTTCAGTAATGGTCTGTTTATTGATCATAACTTGGCAGAACTAGGAAGGTCTGAATTTTTAGAGAAAGTTCTGTTTTCTAAAAGATGGCTGCTTTTAAAGAACATTCTCTTTGAACTTGGAAAGCAGTTTGGGATGTTGGGCAACACTTCAGGGGCTGCTTCTTTATCCGTAGTAAAATAACACCACTTCATTGACATTTTAGTTTTTCAAGTCTGAGATCCTTTTTTAAAATATAATGATCATTGTCTTCTCTTGAATTAATTAACAGAGTTTGTCTTAAAAATAAAAGGTTATATTACTGTGGGGAGGAGATGTTTAAAGGCACCAATGAGATAAGACACCCAAGGCCCAAGAAGTATCATTGCATGCATACTTTTGAAAACACCTTCCTTGCCTCTTGGGACATAGGTTCCACTCTCTTGAGTGTCTTAATTGAACAGTTCAGAGTGCTGCTCTGACTTGGAAAAAAAAATATATGTGTTTTTATGTATATATAAACTAATATATATATATTAGTTTAGCCTCTTTGCTTTCACTAAGTAAAATATGGAATTTAAATGCAACAGGCTATTTGAATAAAACTCCCAATTAATGTCTATATTTCCTATTAGAAAATGATTATTACTTAGTATAGGAAACAGAACTAATATTGATGTTTTGTGTGACATTATTTCTCCCCCAGGACACTTAAGATTCATAGCTTTTCCCTGAAACACCTTAAATATTGCATACTTGTCTTAGCTCTGTGATAGTGAGCAACACAGATTACAAGTTTTTCTCTTAGTATACTGGAAATCATACAAAATCTGACTGTTCTCACAGCATGTGAAACTTGCTCTTTTGGTCCCATCTGGTATCAGAACAGAAAAACATGGAAATGAAAATGTTTTATGCAACTCTAAAGATTCCTCTTCTGCCCAGTTTTTGAATGTATGACAGCATGAATGGTAGCTTAAGTTAACTAATTTGGCATATGTTAAACTGAAAATACAAGATATCATCTCTCAGCATTAATCGCCTCAATCTAGAGCAGTAACTGCCTGAAAACTTAGCAGTTCCCCTACACATACAGCAGCAGAAAATCTCTCTCATTTTTTGTATTGTAGTAATGATGCATAATCTTATTTTAATATTTTATTTATCCATGTAGTTACAAAACTGCATGATGATATTTCATTCCTTTTCAGTTTAATGTATGCTGAATGTACTAGGAATGAGGGACTAAACAGTTTTCCACATACACATGCATGTGCACATACATGCGAAGGGAAGTTATTTCTCATGCACACATACATCACAAAGCTTAACAAAGGAAAATGCCAGGTTCTGCACCTAGGATGGATTAATGCCAGACACAGGTACAGACTAGACTGGGAGAGAAGTGACTGGAGAGCATCTCATCAGGGACCTGGGGGTGCTGGTTGACAGCAGGCTGAACATGAGCCAGCAGCGTGCCCTGGCAGCCAAGAGGGCAAACTGCAGTTTGGGGTTTATTAAATACAGCACAGACAGACAGTCAAAAGACATAATTCTCCCACTGTATTTAGCGTTGGTGTGGCCTCAGCTTGAATATGGTATAATGTAGCCTTGGACAACAAGAAACAAGCTACTGAGCTGTAGCTGAAGGAACACTTTGCGACCACCTTGGTTTTTAGAGGGTGATGTCAAACCTAGGCAATAGATTTCATATTTAAACAAAGACACTTTCAACCTGTAGAAAATATTTAGCATTACGGAAAGTGAAGGACATTTGACACACAGGGATTTTACTAGGTGTTTTCCCAGCTAGAAGAAGAAGAGGAGGAAGAGAAAAAGAGGAGGAGAAGGAAGAAGAGGAGGAGAAAACCACTATAATTCCTTATGGTAGAATTCTGATACACAAATATCCATGGACTCAGTTAAATCCCCAGGATTAGAGATATTTGAGTAAGTTTTCTAGTTTTGTGTTTGTTTGTGTTTTTTTTTTTTTTTACACGTTTTTCAAACTGCATCAAAAAATCCACAGAATTAAAATTAATTAAATAGGGCTTGTCTAGTGGCAACTGTAAAATATTTAAATCTTAGCTAAACTTAGAATGGAAAGAGAGGAGAGAGTGAAATAGCCCTCCACTCTCTCATTAATCTGGTACTTCTACACAGCAGAAGTCTGAGATCTCAGAGATGATGTTTGGTCTGCAGGCGTCAGTAACTCAGTGGTAATTCTCTTTTGCTGTGTTTTCTGAAGCACAGACAAAAGCACTGGATCAGAACGTTGTTCACTGTTTTCCATATCAAGGATTTTTAAATGGAAAGAAGCAAGGAACACACAAAGTGATTCCCTAACATGAAATGGGAAGTTGCCCCCACCATCAGGTCAAATGACAACACCAAATTTTTAGAACCCCTGTAAGCAAGAGAGGTGAGGCCGGCTGCCAGAAGTATGGCTGATTGTCAGGCTGCCTGCACAAATCTCCCCACGCTGCCTTCCTGCAGGAGCTGTGCGACAGCAGAGCCTGTCCCTGCTGTCCTGTCCCCTGCCCAGCACAGCCAGGGCTGGGCTAGGCAGCCCTCACCCCCATTCTTCACCTCTCGCTGCCTCCTGGAGATAGGTGGCTACACAACAGTGAAGGCAAAACATTTCTCCAGTATTGCAGAGAAAGTAAGGTATTTTACAAGGCTTAAATACAGGTTTCCATAGTCACCGTGCATGTCCCTGTGAGAATGATTGTTTTTGCCAACTGGTCACTCCAGTCTGGGAACTGCTGAACAAACAATGGGAATGTAATCAACTGGAAGCAGGTCCAGTGAGCAACACCATAATATTATTCTATTTTTATATATTTTCCCAGCTATGAAAAAATAAAAAATAAAAAATCTTGGCCAGCTTTTCAATAACCTGCTTTTCAACAAAGTGTTGTAAGACACCTAATTTTATGAGAAAACCTCCAACCTTCTGCTGCATCAGGACTAATTGACTGTTAATATTTTATGGAAAGAAATCTTTAGAACACATTTTATATCACTTTTCAAGCCTTTTCATACCCATACCACAGAAAAATTGTTAGGAACTTGTTCTTTCCTCCAACTGTGGTACAGAAAATGCTCTAATTTCTCAAAAACATAATCACACACACACACACACAAAGACAATTAGAATGCTCTTTTTTTTTTTTACAAATACAGAACGTTGCTTTTTCATTGCAATGCAGAGCACTGTACATAATGTACAGAGCAATAACTCTACTGTAATACAGATATACATATGCAACACAATTACTAAAAAATGAAACAAACAAACAAAAATGTTATTTGGAATAAAAATGATTCATTAGGGCCCAGTTCTTTCATAGTACGTTTACTGCTAACTTGATAAATATATCTGACCATTAATTTTTACCCCAAATATTCCATTTTTGTTAAAAAAAGGAAAGTTAGTTAAATTAGTTAAAGGTTAGAACATTATCTAGAAATGTTTATGCGTGATAAAGAGACACATTCCAAAAATAAAATACAAATGAAAATAAAAAATAAAAATAAGTAAAAATAGAGATAGAGATAAATTAAAATTAATTAAAATTAAAATAAAAAAAGGAAAGGAAAAGAAAAAGGGAAAGGAAAACAAGAGAAAAAAAAAAGGAGAGAGATGGAGAAACAGAGTAGAACATAAAGAATCATAATGTCAGTTTTGTGAACCTCATTCATTTCCTCTTGCAAATCAAATATCCTGAGGTCAGCTATGCTCTTATCATACAGAAAATAAATAATAAAATAAATAAAATAAATAAAATAAAATAAAATAAAATAAAATAAAATAAAATAAAATAAAATAAAATAAAATAAAAAGTTCTAGACTTATCCAGAAAGGATTATCTTCAATATTTTCATTTACAAATATAATTGCATGACAGCAGTTAGTTTTCAAGCACCAAACTCCACAGCCTGAACCTCATGCCTGTGCTCCACAGGGCAGCACCACCAGAGGGCTGTAGACACCAGGGACTGTTCGGGACTGGTCTGGTGCTGCGAGGTGAATGTAGGAGAACTGCATTTGTTCACCTGGTACCAAAAATATTAGATGTATGTCACTGTATTAATAATAAAAGATGCTGAAGTTATCCAGAGGGATGAATTTCCACAGCATTTCCACAAGAACTGCACTGCCAGCTACAAAAGTAAATATCACAATTTGCACCTGTGTGCATAAAGGATTTTTAGTTGGTTACTCCAGTACAACTAAACTAGTCGTTTTTTCTGAGAAAATTTGCTATGCAGTGAAGGTACCCTCATTAGTCATGATTTTGTATAAAGAATAAAGTTACTAGGAAGATGTCTGGTAAACAAATCTGCTTCTAGTGAAGAAAATGACAGCATTCCTCCAAACTTCAGGAAAGCAAAAATTGGGGTAGTAATATATCACTAATGGGAAAAGAAGAAACTATGGGCTGGATTTTAGGCTCAGTTTTGCCATAAACTTACCTTCAGGAAGCCATTAACTTGTGTTGCTGTGCCTTTGTTTTTTCATCTTCATAGGAACACAAATAAATTTACTGAATTCATAGGACTGCATCAAAGAAAACATATTGTCATCAGAAAAATAGAAACTTTTCCAATCAAGCACCATTAAACCATCCAGCTTATTTAATCTTCATCTCCTCTTTATCAATCCAGTTAATGTGTTTGCTAATTCAGTAGTTTCTAACAACTCTTCAAATATTTATTTCGGTCTGCTTACAAGTTGCCCAGGAAAACAAGTACAGAACTATTTTTAAGTATGTCCCCTTTACTGAAAATGGAATGTGATTATTTATTCCCATATAATGAATGCGGCACAGTTACTCATCATTTTTTTAACAAGTGAAGAATGTACAATTTTCTAGTCTCTTGTTGAAAATACACTCTGGAAATGTATATTACATTATCCACAATCATAAGTATACAAACATCTTGGAAAATCACACATAGAAAATGTTACACAGAGGTGATTCAACACATGCAAAAATATGCTAACAATTTTCCTTAAGTCTCGGTATTTTAAATACTGCAATGCTTTACCATATACAGACATAACAAAATCACTTTGGTATGTAGGCAGATCATGCTTAAATTGAATTTCCACAGAACAGACAAAAGTTACAAATATATTAGTTGAGGATAATATTGATTATAGTTCTGGCAGTGTTCTGCAGAAACCTACACTCTTCACTGTAAAAGAGTATGATAAATCAAGTTGTCAAACTACATACTTCAGAAGCAATCAATGTTGGGGCAAAACTTTGTTTTTGGCATAACTTGGTGTTATAGCCAAATGTCATTTAATATTATATTATATAGCGTAAAGAGGAAACTCAGAGCTTTCTTTATCCAGAGTAAAGTGGTACAATATTAAGCATCTCTCCTCTCCTCAAAAGTGTGCATTAGTACCCGATCAACTACAGAAAACACGATGCCAAAACCTCAGGTCCTCTTCATTTGAGTTTAGTTTCAGGAGGTTCTTGCTTGTCAATAAATAACTTGCTTTAGTTCAAACTACTAGGATTTCTTAAGTATTCCAAAAATATCTGTCTAGGTGAGTCTAGCTCAAACTGCAGTGGTAATCTGCGTCAGTCCTAGATCATTGGATTCTTCTCTCTCTTGAGGACAGTAAGACGACATTTCCACGACTAGTCATACAGGTTTGTTTGTCCCATCTGTTTCCCGCATATAAGCTGGGTCTTGCACAGTGTTTCTGACTCTGCTCGTGCTCTGCCTGTCCATCCTCATCTTAAGGGGGAAGCAGAAGTCCTTGAAACATCTCTTGAAATTTTCATCCAAAAAAGCATACAGGATTGGATTGAGGCTGCTGTTGGTGTAACCCAAAGCGATACAGAAATAATAGCTGGATATAGCAGCAGTACTGTGGGACACATCCCCTAATGCTTCAACCAGCACAAAAATATGAATAGGAGTCCAACAGATAATAAAAACTGCCACAACTACGAGAACCAACCTGGTAATGCGGCGCAGGTTTCGATCTTTCTCTCGAGACCCTGAGAGAAGCCGTACACTTTTAAGGCGCAGGATCATCAGAGTATAGCAAACAATTATAATAAGGACTGGAATAACAAATGCAAAGACAAAGACACAGATTTTCATGAAGATGTCCCACCACACGTAATCTCTGTCTGGAAATTGCAAGGAGCATTCAGTGCTCGTGGTATCTAGAAATGAAATAAGCAAGAAGAAAATTGCTTTATTATTAGATATTCTAAACAATATAATTATCATAGCATAAGCTAGGAAAAGTGCTTATCATGTAATGTGATACTAATAAATAGAGTTAGCATTAAATCACTCCAAGGAAAGCTTTCATTTACCACTGAAACTGGTTTTACGCAGCTGTCTCTAGAAATTACTTGGAGAGATATGGGCTTTTAAAATGCATAACATTGTATAAAATTTGCTTCCCACAGGAGGAGCTAAAAATGCAGAGGCACAAAATAAAAATTTATAAATTGAGTTGAGCAATTGTTTCCATTTGAATCTCACTGAGATTTAAAGCCAGAAAGAGTACCAGGTTTAATGGAGTAGAAAACTCATAATTATTACCAAACTATATATGCTTTTGTCTGTGGGAGGAGCAGATTTTTGGTATCATGAATGGTGGGAGCTGAATGAGATTTTGATCATAGGAAGGTTTTGCCAATATATGACAATTGTGTAATAATCTTTTCCCATGTGTCTCCTTCAATGTAAATGGAGTACATATACATGTAAGTGCTTGCAATCCCCCCCCCCCAAAAAAAAGTAAAAAAAATAAAATCCTGGCAACAGTTTCTTCAGCTTCTTTTCAGTTACATAGAAGCAAATAAAATATGTACGTGTGCAGAGTCAAATGGAGGCTGCTCTTTTTGCAGATAGCATCACTGACTGCAGTATCCGAGCCACTAACACAATCCCACTCCCTTTCTCCTTTCCCATGGCAGAATTCAAAACCACAGGCTCTCTCACATTATTGTAAACCCCAGAAATATTCCATCTGATAGGAGGCTGCTAAGGCATGAAATATGAGGTTTCATTTACTGACCTCATTGCAGCCTTCTAACATACAAACCACATGGAGAAACAAGAAATAAGATAAATGGCAAAGCAGGACAAGGGATAAATTTACAACTACTATCAGCAGTTAAACTGCACTGAAGACAAGTCAAGGTAACCCAGGGATTTTTCACTCTGAATTGTAGCTTAGAGTTTATCCTCTCAAGCACTGCATTATTCTAGTGTTTGGTGGTATGTTTTATCTATTTATTTTCATTTTCCCTACTGAATTCTTCATTCCTCTACAAATTATTATGTATTGGCTTTTATTGAATCAGAGCTAAAGGTGGAAAGCTTCAATACACTGTTGTACAGTCAGGGGAAAAAAATCCATCACACCATATTTGCTTGTTATTAAAATGCTTCACAAATCAAGCTGATATTGCAGCTGATATTATTTTGAAAAACATTCCCAGAGGCTGGGGTGGGGAAAGTTATCCTAGAATAACAGAATCATTAAGGTTGGAAAAGAGCTCCAAGATCACCTGGTCCAACCATCCCCCTGTCCACCACTGTCACCCACTAACCCCTGTCCCTAAGCACCACGTCCAACCTTTCCTTAAACATCCCCAGGTACAGTGATGCCACCACCTCCCTGGGCAACCCGTTCCAATGCCTGACCATTCTTTCTGAGAAGAAATGTCTCCTAATTTCCAACTTAAACCTCCCCTGGTGCAACGTGAGGCCATTCCCTCTAGCCCTATCACTAGTTATCTGTGAAAAGAGTCCAATCCCCAGATTTTAGTATCATATAGGCATTTCCATGGTTAGATATCAGAAAACTGTTACTGGGTGATATTGAACACTTCTACATTCAAATAAAAGGTTGAAATTGAAACTAAATGTTTTGAGTTTTTATTTTAAAGGATATAATTACTAATGGATATTTCTGAAAGCTGAAAAGTGAAAAAAGTCTCCATCTTTCAAGCCTGATGGAAAATGTAAGATGACAGCAAAAGCATTATCTCATAAGGTTGCAACTTTTGCTCAACATTTCTAAATCCTTTGTGATTATATTTTAATAAAGCAGTTTACTTTTACTTAATTTGATTATAGAAACATCAATAATTATCTTCAAGAAAACTTTCACATTGATTATTTACTTTTATTTGTAGTAGATCACGGCCTAGCAATAGCAGCAATAATACACAAGTACGATGTCTAGACTAGTAAAGCCAGATGTGCAGTTTGATCATAAAGCTGTGATTAGGGATGACTGTTCTAGACCACATCCAGCTACCTACTAATAACCCCTCCCTCTTCAGGTCTATTGATATAATTTAATGTATTTATCAAAATCATTAGATTAGAAAAAGCTCCTGCTGTTTAAAATGTTTGTGCCAGCCAAATCATCTTGAGAAAGCCACAGGAACACATATATACATTTTTGCAGCCATTCCTGAGAGGACAGGAGCTACTGAACTGATGGAGTCATACTGGAAGCCCAAAACCTTCAGTTGCAGCTGGAAGAGCAAGACCAGCCACAGCCCCATCATCATCCCTCAGTAAAGAATTCAGAGTCCAGGCAGCACTTCCAGTGACAGAAAAGGAAAAATCAGAAATGACTTAGAAATTTTCCAACAGATAATTAGAATTGCTAATTCACCAAAATTATTTCCCTAATCCATCCTTATCAAAATCATCTGAAAGAAAAACAGGAAAAAAAATAAAAAATGTTTTACTTTCAGAGTATTCAAATAGATCATTCTGTTATACCTTTTCAGAGCAAATTCACTTTTGTTTTAATTTTACCTTGAAAGATACTTCTAAGATGTAGTTTATTAAGTTAAAAATATTAAAGTAATTGTATATGATAAATATAAACAAATGTCATAATATTAAGATAATATAGTGTTAATTCAGTGTTTGTATTAAATGGAATGTATATAAATATACAATATAGTCATAAATATTCTCAGAAGATAAAAAAGATAGTATCAGCATAGCTAACTCTTTTTTTTTTTTCTTTCTGATGCATAAAAAAAGACAAAAGTGGATTTAGCTTACAAAAAGATGGGTACTTTATATGTGTATCCCAACATATACTACTGAAAGTCAGTATTGCTAATTTTCAATAATGTAAAATAAAATAATAAGATAAAAATAAAATCTTTATTAAAGAAATTGAGTGGTTATGGCTGGAGGGAACCTCTGGAGGCCATCTGGTCCAACCCCCTGCTCAGGCAGGGCCACCCAAAGCAGGCTGCCCAGGACCATGTCCAGGTGGCTTTTGGATATCTCCAAGGAAACTCCACAGCCTCTCTGGTCAACCTGTGACAGTGCTCTGTCATCCACACATAAAACAGGGAGCCTCCTGTATGTCAGTTTGTGTCCATTGCCTCTTGTCCTGGCACTGGGCACCACTGGCTCCATCTTTGCATTCTTCTTTCAGATCTATGACCATTAAATATGGTCACACTTGCTATGCTTTCCATAAATTGGTAAATAACGATGGTATTTCAAAATCCCAAATTATCAAATACAAATTTATGGCTGTTTTAGATCTCACAGCAATGTACTTTATATGTAAAATCTTATCCTAAATTCATTAATATTGAATATTATCATAAGAATATATAAATTATATATGAAATTAAAAACATGAGCACAATGAAAGAGTTAGAATATGGAATCCTTTTCTTTTTCACAGTTAACATCAAGGATCAACAAATATCGTTGTCAAAGGTACAAAATATCATACTAATTTTTAGGAACATTGAGAGAGAATAACATCCAATTTGTACTTTACGCTTGTTGCCTGAAAATGTGCAGAACTAAATTTAGTGTCACAAAATGAGCATTTACGATGTTCATACTGTCATACTGACTTTTTCCACTCTGGAAGCCATCTATTCCGAATAGATCGATATATTTAGAGGAAAATACTGCACTTCAAAAGGTATTTTAGTGTAAATATATATTAAAATGTTTGATAAAATACCACTTAAGATTCATTTTAATCCTGATGTGGGAAGTCTATTTCTGTTAGGTAGTGTTGTGGTTTAACCCGGCCGGCAGGTAAATACCACACAGCCGTTTGCTCACCCTCCCCCCTCCCTCTCTCGGATGGGGGAGAGAAATGGGAAAGTGAAGCCTGTGAGCTTAGATAAAGGCAGTTTATTAAGACAGGAAAATAGTAAGAACAACAACAATAATAACAATAATGATGATAATAGTACTACTAATAATAATGTGTACAAAACAAGTGACGCACAATGCAATTGCTCACCACCCCACTGACTGATGCCCAGCCTATCCCCGAGCAGACAGCCCCCCACCCCAGCTAGCCACCCCTATATATTGTTTATCATGTCAGATGGTATGGAATACCCCTTTGGCCAGTTTGGGTCAGCTGTCCTGGCTCTGTCCCCTCCCAGCTCTTGCTGCACCCCAGCCTGCCCGTTGGCAGGACAGAGCAAGAAGCTGAAAAGTCCGTGGCTTAGTGTAAGCACTGCTCTGCAACAATTAAAACATCAGCATGTTATCAGCACTCTTCTCATCCTAAGCCAACTAGCACCCTACCAGCTACTAGGAGGAAAATTAACTCTGTCCTAACTGAAACCAGGGCAGGTAACTTAGTAATACCTCACCTACAGGCATCCGTATTCCTCTCTATTCAATTGGAGCCTTCATAATATTTCTGGGAATACTAATAGTACCTCTGATTTCTTTATTTTTTAATTATTCTTCAGCAATAAAGGCTCCGTTAAGGCCAGAGAGGGAAAATTTACACAGACGTAAGATTTATTCTGTAGGGAAAATGCATCTGGAAGGACACCCCTGGGAGCAATCCTGCACTGTGAGAATGAAAGGGACTAACTGTGTGTAGGCTTGGAACTTTAAATACAATCACTTTCCTTTTGATATTCAGTTGTTGTTTAAATCTGAACCCAACAGAGGCCCCAGGGCATATAAACAGCTACTATTGTCATCAACATAATATAGAGTTTCAGTACTGAGCTCCAGCTGCCAGGCAAAGGGAAGATCTTTGTGTTTTTTCCCCTTCACCATTTATCAGTGCAATTCATGAACACACCAGACAAGATAATTGGCAGTAAATGCTCAAGAGACACCTTAGATCAGACAAGCAGGGATGAATGGTAGGGGCTGACAAGCATTTGCTAATAATTCCTAATCTTATTTGGCCCAGCTGAGGTGTGTATTACTAGTCACTGCTTCAGGAGGAAGGAAAAAAAAAATAAAAAATTCTGCCTGCCATGCAATGTGAAAAAGACATTTAATCATTTCTGGCCACAGAGCAGCCCTTTGAACTCAGTGTGATGCTTACAGTGAATGACAAGAACATTCTACTAGTTAAGAACACTCCTAACAAAACACCTGGTTGAGCCAATGTCTCATAGCCTTCAAGATTTCATCTGTAGTTAGACAATCATTCTTCCCACCTGGAGATGCTTGGAAGTGACTTTTTCCTCAGCCACACATTATTTCATAGAGCCTGTCCAAACTTTACTGGGGAGAAGAGTTACAGCACTGCAGACCAGGACACTTAATCTCCCAAAAGGCTGATGAAGAGTTCTCAGAGCATCTCTCCTCTCACCTACCCAGCATAAGACCAGGAGTAAAACCAGTATCTATACATCTTCAGTAAAATCAATCAGCCTTTGAGCAGCTGAACACCGTTGTTTTGTTTGCATTGATCTATGCCAAGAGTTTAACACACACCATTTATTTTCTCTGCCAGATAAAACTGTGTCCTTATGTAAAGTTTACTAGTTCTCTTGGGAGGAGTGAAACCTTTCTACTAGAAAAGGTTGCTAATTCAGGAACTTATTTATCATTCTTCAGAAGATCATTTACATCGCAAACAACACTACCACCAAATAAATATGTATGCCCTGTGTTTCATAGGTCATCTGTGTCAGGATGGCCTCAACATCAGGACATCATTAGAGGTTTCAAGCCCTTTGAATATACAGAAGTGCTCCTGTACTACTGTCATGCTTGTGGGTATGAAGTATATATCTCCCTTTTCCCTGACAAGGAGGATTTCAAAATAAGATTAACTCCCAAGCAGGCCAGCTTTGGTAATGAGTCACCAGTTATAGGGGCGAAATCTGCAGTCCATAAATCCATAATCCGTATGGATTATAAATTTCAAGTAGAGTCTACAAGTTCTCTGCACACAGATTCATTGACCTCATGTTCTTGTAGTTGCTTCCGTTATGCTCTGTATTCCCAATTTCTCTGCTGAAGCTTATTCCTAGCTTTTCCAAGTCTCCATATACACCCCCTTTCCTTTTCTTTTTAAACAAGAACTTCTGACATTGTCATTTTCACAGGATTTAGCTTACTTTTCTCTCTCCAGCTACTGATATTTTTTTTATTTTTTTTCCATACCTTCAAGTTCTGTGAAATGGCTCTTAATAATAAGTTCCCAAGTCTTAATACTAATGATGGTTTTAATATTAACACTAATGAGAAACAATCTACTTTCTGCTCTTGCAACTTCATCAGAACTACTCTCACAACACTTACAAAAAGCACCTTCAGCCCACATTTCAAGTTGGCAAGGGCATCTGAGCTTAAATTATTTATACGTCATACAGTAATGTTCCACAATATATTTCAAAATGTCTAAATGAAATTTAGACATACTTTTGGAACCAAGGAATGTGGGTGATCTTCTGTGTGTAAAGGGTACACAAATTACTGAAGTAGGAACAAAGCAGGTTTAGACGATATTTCAAGCTACATTTTATGTCATTTGAGAAACAAGAAGACTCAGTTCTTTCAGAATGCTCACACTCACCTTCCCTGACTTTGGTACCTCCGAGAACTATTGCAGATATACCAACAGATGAGGACAACAGCCAGATACAGATATTGATTATCTTCGCCTTGAGTGGAGTACGGAAGTCCAGAGCTTTCACAGGGTGACACACAGCGATGTATCGATCAACACTCATCATGGTCAGTGTGAATATGCTGGTAAACATGTTATAGTAGTCGATCGAAATAACTATTTTACACAGCACATCCCCAAATGGCCAAGAGTTCATCAGGTACTCTGTGCTTTGGAAAGGCATAGTTGTGGTAACTAGGGCATCTGCCATAGCCAAATTGAAAATGTAGATGTTGGTTGCTGTCTTCATCTTTGTATACCTGAAGGACAAAAAATAATAATAAATGTGATTGTATCAGCACATTCAAAAATGTAATATCTTCTCAGTCATCTTTTGCCATAGTCATTTTTCTCTATCATTTTTTAGCGTGACAGAAGTGCACACATTTAGGACCCTTGGAATTACAGTAAATACTTTTCACTCCATCCTTCAGCACCTGCATTAATCAGTTACAACTATTCACCACAGGTGAAAACAGACATATGAATAAATGTAATCTAATTATCCAAATGCTGGTTTCAATTCTATCTGCTCAGATCCATCTATAAGCAATTTCCCTTCTTCACTTCTATATTTCCAATCTCTCTTTTATCATCTGCTTCTCCTAGTCCCCTCTTTCATGACTGCCAACATAAAAGATGATGACTGAACAGCAGGATTACAGTAGAGGAAAAAAAATCAGCAATGTTTTCTCTGCATCCTTTAATTTCACCAATACAAAACACTTGTTTTGTCATTGTGGTAGGAACCTTAACCCACACAGAGGAATAGGATCCCAGACAGCACCCTGCTTTGTTCTGCACGACGACAGCCTAATGCTGGGGGCCCTGTCTGTGTTACAGGGTGTGGAGGACTGCTGCCAGCTCTGCTACAGACACAGAGCAGGAAGGACAGCCTCTCTCATTTCCATTATTACCATACAGATATGCTTAACTCTCCTTTCTGAGATTCCATGCCCCTAAAACAAGTAGTTACTTCTGCTCATTGCTGTTAATTTATTATGAGATTCAATGACAGAGTTTCTCAAAACTCAAAACTGTTTCACACATATATTTTGAATGGGTCCCCAAACTAAAAGGTGCACACGCAACACACACAGAAACACATCGAGCTAGATTGTGCCAAGTATCATTAACGAATTTGCAGTGGAATATAAGATTCTATCAGTTCAGCTAATGAACATATTGGGCAATGTGTCTATTTATCTTTTAAACTTTGACATGTGAAAACAAAATTAATTTGGGAAAAAAAAAGAAGTCTTGAGCAGAGTTCAAAAGTGCTGACAAATATACCTAGCAAGTAAATTAAATATTAATTAAAATATAGACAGGAATGTCATTTAATGACCTACATGAAGCATGAAAAACAGCTTCAGTTTTTATACTTCACTCTAATTAGAACTCAGTGAGAAAATGAATCCAAATACTGGTTCAAAGTAAGGAAATGAGAACTGCAAGGGGTGCAATGAGAACTGAAGGTAAAAACCCTTCTCATTTAGATGCCAACAAGCTGTACCTGCTGTCTGAAATGACTGTAAAGGATCCTGGTACTTGCTTCCCAAGGGAGGGTTGCCTGCTGCCCAATGAACAGTTCTAATTCAGGTTTACATATTGAGCAAAACTATAGGCAATGAAGCACTAAGAATAGCTGCCAAATGAAGCATCTTTACAGCAATGGTGTGATCCCTATGGTCTAGTCTCCCTCTGCCCTGGTTTGAGCTTCTCCAAGATAAAAGAATAAAGGTGTGGAAGAACCCACCAGTCAAAGCTGGGCTTCCCTACACTTTCCAGAGCAGCATCCTCAATAGGGCCTCCAGCAGAGGAGGCAGTCTATCCTGTAGGTCACATTACAGCCCCTAAGAGACTGTGGAAACAAATATAAGGTGCATTATCAGACTGGGAATTTTCCTCCTGGGAGGGGGAGGTAGGAAAAAAAATAAAAAAAAAAAGCAACTCTGAATGATGCATCTCAATTGTAAGACTGAAGTAAAACTCACTAAGCACTCAACAATTCTGTGCAAATATATATATATATATATATACATATATATGTATATTTGGAAAGGTTACCTCGAAGCACTACAAAAATAAGTGAAAGAAGGGGAGAAGTTCTTTCTGTGAGTAACTTAAAGACCTTAAAACATTTAGTTTATCAAAAGAACACCAAGAGGTGACTTGATTACAGTGTCTGAAGTCCTCCACAGAGAGAAAATAACAGGTACTGAAGAGCTCTTTCAGACTGGAAAGAAAAGCATAACAAGGAGACACACATAAGAGTCACAGCCAGACAAACTCAGCTTAGAAACAATGATAGATTTTTCCTAACAACTAAGGTGATTATTACTGGGAACAAATTACACAGGAAAGGAGTAATTTTTCCATCTTTTATGTCTCCAGATCAATGTCTGATGCTTTGCAAGTAGCTGTGCTTCAGTCAAACACAAGCTACTAGACTCAATACAGGATTATTTAAATGAAATGCAATGGCCTGTGATAAGCAGAGGTGAAATTACTAATAACTCTTCTGAATCACTGCTTCTGTAAATCTTTAAAAAAATCCCCATGGATTTGGATAGGGAAAGTTTGCCTTCACATACAGAAGAATTTGTCTGATCTTTTTCCTTTAAAGAAAATCAGAACATTTTCATAAAAAATAACTAAGAGGATTTTATTAGCCTTAAAAAAATCAAATATCTGAAAGCCTTTCTATCTCACATTTCTTGTTCCTTGCAGCCTGAATTCAACTTTTGTTGTGCATGTGACACCATGACACAATTTAATTACATGTCAATGTATACTATATTTTGTCAATGTGTGCTATATTTTCCCATTACCTCTTTCCCCCACCACCAGCCTTCCAGTAGCAGTAGCAAACCCTCTGTAAAACAGAACTTATTTTTTACATAATTTCAAAACTCAAAGTTTTTAATCTGCAACATGAAACATGTTCTCTGTATACACAGTGTGTATTAATGATATTATAAATGTAAAGTGAGCTATATTGATATTTTGGACTACACAACATATGCAGTGAATAAGTAAAATAATTTTCCTCAGTCCAACAAGAAAGATGTCTTGTCATGTACAGGTTATAAGAAATACGTAGTCATCCAAGCACCAGCATTTAGACAACCTTCAGTGTAAGCAAATCAAAGTTGTATGTGGGACTGAAAATATGTTTAAAAATATACATATATTTTTAAGTGCCATTCTACCTATAAAGCTCTGAAAAAGGCTTCGGATCATTTTCCTTATGTAAGCACATACCAATGCTGTCTTTGATAGCTTTACCTGCTGTGTGCCTCATGCCTCCCCACAACTCACCAGCCAGGCAGTCTCATGACTAGCTGGCCTTGCCCAAATCCCCCTGAGTTCACAGACCACAGGCAGGTGCCTCTTTGCACTGTTCACTCTCAGCCAGAACAGGCACCTACACGTATATTGTACATTCTTCCCCTTTGTTCATGCTCGGTAGAGCATGAGACTTTTAATCTTAGGGTTGTGGGTGTGAGCCCCACGCTGGGCACCCAAGTGATGCACGACACAATTGCTCACCAACCTCTGCTCAGGGATAGTCTGGGCATCAGTCAGCGGGCAGTGAGCAATTGCATTGTACACCACTTGTTTTATACACATTATTAGTAGTAGATTAGTAGTAGTACTATCATCATTATTATTATTTGTTTCCTTTCTTTTCTATCCCAATAAATTCTCTTTATCTCAACCCACAAGCTTTCACTTTTTTTCTGATTCTCTCCCCCATCCCACTGATGGTGGAGCGGGGGACGTGAGCAATGGGCTATGTGGTGCTTAGCTGCCAGATGGGTTAAACCACAACACTCTTTTTCTGCCAGACTGGGAACAAGAAGGAAGGAGGCTAATAAATACTGCTCCAATAAATACTTTATTACATTTAGGCAATTAATTCACCCAGACACTGCAGAGCAATGATGGGTACCTAACTAAAGGATAAGTGGTTCACTGGTCAACCTCAGCAATGCTAAGTCTAAACACTTTTTACTGTTGTAACCTTAAATCTCATTGACATCATATTTTATTTTATTTTATTTTATTTTTACATTTATGCAGTGTAAAGAACTTGTAAAGAACTCCAGATAAATGAGGTGTTGGCCTTTACAGCTGTCAGGCAATATGGATTAAATCATAGAATAATTCATAAGTTTATAAATTCAGAACAGCTTGTGAGAATCCGGACTCAGTCATCCAAACTCCTTTTGAATTTTTGGAATTAAACATCTAAAAATTATTAAATGCTTAGATGCTTCTGAAGATATGTACTTGCAGGCTTAATCAAAGTTCAGTTAAAGTAATGGAGTGAGAGCTGTTGCTGTCTGACACTTTGAAGTGGACCCTGATAGAGTCTTGACTCTAACACAAGATGAGCAATTTGATCACTTTTCTACAACTCATTTCTATTGCACTAAAATATGGGAGGCAACATTTTGGAAGGTTTGAGTATCTCTCCCTACACTTTTCATTCGCACAAATCAGCACTTGAAGAAGGCAAAAATAGTAATGGAGTAAGGGAATCCTGCCTTCCTTTACAAAACTAAAACTATTGATCAAATAGTTGAATGTTATTTAAGGAAAAGTACTGCTATCTGCTTAAATTAGTCTAGCAGAGCACAATGGATTAATACTAATGTTACATAGGAATGGAAAGTCTCACTGCTAAATCAGCTGCTAGCATCTTTCTTCAAGGAGCAGAAAATCCTACAATGACTTAAATTAGTTGACGGATTTTGCAACTGCATGTCTCAAGCCTCTGTAGGCTTTAAATACCTGGAAGATTTATGAAAATCCTGCAGAAAAACAATCAAGATAAACAGAAAACTATAATTTGGATGTGTTTTTTTTGGATTAATATATGGTAATGTTTTTTTAAGAAGCAAAATTAAAATAATGTGTTATATATCACAAGTAAAATTCTCAAAGCAATCACATCTTAACCTAAGTACACTTTCCAAAAGTGGAAAGTTCTCTGAGACTGACTTTGGACTGACCTTCATAAAATTTCTGCCATCACTCACTCAAATCATCGTTACTGTACTTTTCCTTATGGAGCAGAATTTTCTTTGCACATATTCTTAAGACACTAAATAGGATAAAAATCACACCTCTAACCCAAGCTTATCAATGAAATTAGGGTGATTGAAGAAGGAAGCATGCTAGTAAGAAGTTGGTGTGCTTTCAGAAATAAATAAAATTCATTAGTAAACCTGCTAGCAGAGCCCCTTAA